CCCTGACCAGGATCAGCTTGCAGCATGACCTCTGGAACTGCAGCACTGGGGACATTCTTTGTCTGGACTGTTAAACCAGGTAAGTGACCAACACAGATTATCTTTATATCAGTTTATCGTGGTCACTTACCTATGTTTCCTCCCTAGAGTGTCTGAGATTGGGCGGTGCCCCGCCCCCCCGCCTGCAGTGTCCGCGAGCCACAGCTCCGCTTTACTTTTGTTTTATTTAATAAAAGTTTGAACTTTCCTACTGACTGTCTCTTCTTGAATACTGGGTCCATCTGTCTTCTGTTCATGACTATACATACTTGTTACGCATACTTGTTATTTTGTTGAACTCTAAGTGGACCTACTTAGAGTTGATTGAAATAATTCACAGCAGCTTTTATGAAATTGAAAACTCAGAGTTCCTGACTTTAGGCTAGACCATTTCAGAGTTGAGGATTTGAGTCTGAGTATGTTAAACCTGCTTCTTCTGGTGATGTTTTCATGACGTTTAAGTTTGCTGCTCTGAAGAAACTCACTTGCTGAATTCAAACAGGAGCTTTTCAAAAATGAGGATGGGTCCAGTGGAACTGAGGATGATGAGGGGCTGACCACTGAAGAGGCAGAAGACGGATCCGGCCAACGCAGTCCCCAGGAAACTCTCCATCACACCCTGGAGGAGGAAAAGCAGAGTGGGAGGGGGGGAAATATGAGGGGGTCAACTAAAGGTGCAAGAAAAAACAACATCTCAGCCAATTTAGAAAGAAAGGACAAATAAGATCTGGTTTATTTATCATTTAGGAAAGATTCACATTAATTAACAATATGTTAAATTAGCCTGAAGGCTGTTTTTCATTGGTTTTCTGGTTCTGATTAAAGCTGCTGAGGCCTCCTGATAAATCAGTTCACTCTAAACAAACTTTATTCTCGTAAATTTACAACTTTATTCACGCAATATTAGGACTTTTTGTTACAACATTATTCTCATAATGTTATGAATTTATTCTTGTATTAAAAAAAAAGGCCTGGTCCTAATACTCCTTGGTTAACCATGAGCTGCTCTCATTCCTGTGTCACCTGGTAGTTGTCAGTTGCGTCTCCAAGGAGACCGCCGAAGGTGATGGCGTTGGTAATGCAGCCGAGGTAGATGAAGAGCACGGCGGAGATGGACTGGATGTGGAAACCCTCGTAGATATCGCTGGGCAGCCATGGCAGTTTACGCTTTATGTCCAGGTACAGGCCGCCGCAGAAACTAACAGAGCAACACAGCGTATCAACACACAGGAATGACAGCAAATATGGAAAAATACGCAATAAACTGCCTCAAATCACACACTAAAAACGTTATCCAAGCCCCTTTAAGGTGACACAATTTCTTACCACAAGAATTATT